TAAAGCATAAACTATTGATAAAACTATGGTGATAGATGACGAACCAATTGCCATGCACCATCACAGTTGTATTTCTCCAGCTATTTATCCAAACCGCAAATCAAACAACTTGAGAATGATTGAAATACCCATTTCATGAAAAAAGAACTAGAAATACAATAACTATAACAACTTTATTGTAGGTTTATGAATGTAAATTTATCGATGCTTATGTCATAAAGGTTGACGTGTATCGATACAAGTTGCTCCTTGCTTGTGATTACCTTAAAATATGGATATCGGCGACATGTGGCGTGCGTAATGAGACCAAAAATATTTTATTCAATAAGGCACTTCATTGATATATTATTTTTTTATCGTAGAAATATATTTTTGTGTAGCGTTTTTTTGTGGAAAATCGTTTTCCTTTGGACATCAAATAAAAATTGATCAGATTATTGAGAATTTCAATCAGTTTGACTTTTCAGATCGAGTAGTACGAAAAATAATTAACCTGTTAGTAAAGGAAATTGTAAACAATATTTTTCTATTATAATTTACATACAACAAACAGTGGCAAAGGTGCTCATGTTGAAAGAACACCTATTTTTTGACAGTTATAAATCTCATTAAGGGAAAAAGCCTGTGTTACATACTGATCATACGAGCTCATGAATATTTCGCTATGGTTCCAAAACCACCTCTTTCTTGGCAGTCTTCGATAACTCAGGTATGCTGCTAGGTATATTAATTAATACTAGCAGCCCACCCCAGCTTCGCCTGGATGTTATTTGCCGATGTTCCCGATAAATATATAAAATTTTTCTTTTATGCAATTTATATAAACATAGTAAAAAACTAATTCTAATATTCGATGCAGTCATTTGGCAGTTATGGGCATATATGCATACATTTTTATTAATTTAGATAAAACTACCAAATAAAATCATTTAACTCTTCAGGGACAACTATAGTACTACGACTTTCAAGCCGAACAAGTTAAAACATGTTTTTCTATTTAATCTATATACAATATAGAACGTGTCACGTTGTCACAGCTCCCATACAAAAGTTTGGCCGCAACATTGAATTATATTAGTATACACAAGCGGAAAAGCTTAGTTTTCAATAGAAAGTTAAATTTTGCAATCACTAAACGGAGTGCAACAGTCAAACTTGAACCTCGGGGACTTGACTATGCAATTTAGTACACCCTGTGTATAATATACTGGTTTATGAATCGTAGTTTTGGTTAAAAGTGTTGCAGTTAAATATGGAGTACAATTTTTGTGTTAAATTAATTTATTTTTTAATTTTTTTTCTAGTGTGGTAGAACTGCTTCGGCACGAATAGGCCGGCTCGACCGGAGTGATACCACGGCCTCACAGAAAACCGACGTGAAACAACGCTTGCGTTGTGTTTCATCGTGTGAGCGAGGCTACCGGAGGCTCAATTATCCCCTCCCTAGTCTACCGAATCCCCGAATCCTCCTCGATCTTCAAATTCCACATTCCCAAAAGGCCGGTAACGCACTTGTAACGCCTAGGTGTTTCGAGTGTCCATGAGCGGTCATGGGCATGTCAGCTTGTTTACCGGCTGTAAAAAAAATTACCCTTATGACAGCAAGTAAGTAGGTAGGTATCTGCCATTCTTTCAATTCACATTGAAGGGAAATCAGAAGCCTGTCTGTTCATCGCATCTCAGAGAAAGTGAATATTTTTGAAGTACCGCTTAATTCGATTGTAATTCATATAATATAAGGCAAAAATATACACATACAAATTAAGTACAACGCATAAAGTGCTATTTTGTACTATATTTAAAAAAAACATGCTAAATTATTATTACATAGTATTTTCCACGCAAATTACTGCAACAAGAAAATGTTTATCAAGCATCAATATAATATCAATATTTGTGTAAAGTTGAGATAGCGCATAATCAAAAGGCCGATATTATTATGTTTCATCGAAACATAAACTGTTTACATCGATTTACATATTTTAAGGTAATTATACCGCAAACTTCACTGAAAGCTTTCAATATCGCTTAGTAAGTCTGTAATTCAGTGTTCGGTAAAAGGTAACCCGACCAAATTGAATTTCGTCACATAATCGTTTTTGTCCCTTCAAATCCGGGGTCATTTAAACTTTGTTGAATAAATAAATAAATGTATTGTTTTTGTATTATATTGATATTGTTTTTACTGAATATATTTCGGTTTTATATTTAACCATTTATTAGTGACCATAAAAAATGTTTTTTAGAAATTACCTTTTTCTGTTAAAGTGTACTCATATATATTTTGGTTTTATGCAAACTTTTAGATGACATATCACTGAAGAAGCAGCAATGAGTCATATTCTTCAAGTAAATATTTAACATTAACAATCTCTAATGTTTAATAATGTATTGTAATGAAATTTTTTCTAACCACAACGTCAAAAAAACCGTTCTTAAAACGACTTACAAAAATTTTTCATTTTCTTTTTGAGGGAAGAAAATCATCCAATGACATCTCCCGCCCGGGTGAGGCGAGAGGGAGTGTCACCCTGTTCCTACTCCTGCACTTCGAGCCGGAGCCCCGGCAACCCGTTAAGTCTTCCGCGGCTCCGTATCGGCATCAGCTCTATTGGGCCCCATCTGTGGTGCGACGTACGCTCGGGCCTAACTTACAAACAACAACTACAAACACAACTGTTTATTCCACTCGATTGTCCGAATTCGATTACACCAACGGAGTTATCAAAACTGCATTATTCATAGCTATTGTAAACTATTAAATCTGTGTGGCTGTAAGGCGTGGATCTAACTAGTTGTAACTAGTCACAACTTGATTCCTAGTAGATCCCAACTCTAGTTTCTACTTAGTTACCAAGTTTCATTCAAACATCACTCCGCCTAATATTCTAGGTAACGTGTGCTGTTTGAATTCATTACTTATCATAGGATTTGTTTTAAAAGTACTGCTTTGTATGTTGAGTTTAGTTTTTTTGCCGAGTGAAACAATATTGCTATTTTAATTTCTTATAATGATTATTTTATTTGAGCGCGACGTTCATAAGTAATTCTTTATTAGAACTAAAAATTACAAGCCTAAAGTTAGTCTTCGATTGTAAATCGTCTGCCGTTTTCGCAGAAA